CGTTGGACTAGTTGGAGCTTCCGAGCCGTCTTCAAAGGCAACCCCACGTAGAGAGCGTTGCAGTAGTCTATAAACGGGATGTGACCAGAGCGTGGACCACCGTGGCCAGGTCAGACTTCCCAAGGTACGGGCGCAACTGGCGCACAAGCTTTAGCTGTGCAAATGCTCCCCTGGTCACCGCCGAAACCTGAAGTTCCAGGCTCAGCGACGAGTCCAGGATCACTCCCAAGCTGCAAACCTGCGTCTTCAGGGGGAGTGCAACCCCGTCCAACACAGGCTGTGACCCTATGCCCTGTTCAGCCTTACGACTGTCTTGTCTGGATTCAATTTCAATTTGTTAGCCCTCATCCAGTCCGAGACAGCGGCGAAGCACCGGTTCAGGACCTGGACAGCCTCCTTAGTAGCAGGTGGAAAGGAGTGACAGAGTTGGACATCATCCGCATACAGATGACACCGTACCCCGAAACTCCAAATGATCTCCCCCAGCGGCTTCATGTAGATGTTAAACAACATGGGAGACAATATTGAGCCCTGAGGAACCCCACAAGACAATGGTTTTCTAGCATAGTTTTATATGGGGGAGCGGGGGGTACATAAACTATTTCTTACCATGTAGGAATATTGTGATGAGAAACTAACTGTGACAGTTCTGAGCTACACTTTTATAGTCAACACTCAAAAAAGTCACAGAAAAAGTACTATTTGGGTCAGTTAATGATGATCTATGTGGTCTCTTCCAACTCTGTTATCCTATGATTCCAATATCATCCTCCTAGTCACTTCTGCCATCAACTTCTGGTCGATAAACATCCCATTGTATCATACAGTCTTTCACTTGCTCATCTTCCAACTGAAATGTAAAAATAATAATAATATGTATTTATACCAATATTACCAATTATCTGTTCACAATATGTGCGTAACCGACCCTTTTGGATTAGTGAGAGAGTGCTTCCTGTTAAACACTTCTACACCAATTATGTAACTTCCAATAAAGAACACCCTAGGCGCCATCATGCATTCTGCCATACGTAGCTTCATAGAATGCAGTTCAAAGCAGTTCAACGATATTCTAGAGTGCTGCAGATGGGGCCTGGTGTCAAGGGTTGTCTCAACTGTGGTTGACATGGAGGCAGCCTCAGCTGATCACAAACACTCTGATGCCATGGGTGATGATGATGAGGTCACTATGGGGATGACCTTCAGGTCTGAGCAGAGGTGGCCGCTGGGAGGGAGAGAGGCTGGCCACTTGCCAGGCACCCAACTCCTGTCCAGTTGTGTCTTTGGATCCGTTACAGATGCGGTTATATGCGGCTTGACTACACTACCTAGAAAAC